TATATATTCTTACATATAATTGAATTTGTACCTGTATAAAATACAGTATCATTTTGTTATGTATTAAATTACCCAATAAATATTACCTCATGGTTACATGGCATTTAAAGAGTATCAGTATTGTATTAAATGGTCCTGAATAAATGTCTTCTAAATTTTAAATAGCATGATTGGACTTATGTGATGTCTCTCAACTCATTGTTTTTTTGTTCATTCATATCAGTCTGAATTTTTAGATATGTTACAGGCTGGTTTAGTCCCTATCACAGAAAAAGAAAGAAGATCCATCCCATAATGATTCATCACTTTCAGCCAGATGCCATAAGGTAATTCAAGATCTGTGATCTCATGCAAAGTCTGCATTTTTTAAAACTAGTTTGGGACTGACAGATGGCTATAGGTTTGCATTCTTGTTCAAACCCATCAATATAGGCAGTCCCATGTTGGGACTTAAGTGATGTTCTTTATGGATTCAATCAAGATTCAATCAGGTTTAGAGCCATAGTTAATGGGACTTATATTATTAGTCATAACAAATATCTCATTGATTTCAGTGCATCAGCTCAAATGTAGTTATACATTATTATAAATTTTGGTCAGCTGGCATAGTCCAAAACTTAATCAAATTCAGAAATAGCAAAATATTTTACTTATTACCTTATTGCAAAAGAAAATTATTCACTGATTCACTCGTATATGTGTGTATGGGTATGTATCAAATAAATAACATACTTAAAGGCAGGGAGATGAATAAAAACAAATATATATCCCCTATTTTTGAACTTCCTCAAACTACATGACTGCTGGAAATTATGAATTATTCATGGAAATTTAAATTGCCAACTTAAAAGGCATAAGCAAAGAATGTTGACAAAGTGCTGGTACCTTCATGGGACTTGAAAGGTGAATTTAGCTAGGCAGAGATGTTAATATCTAAAGATACAGGGGGGGGGGGGAATTATTTGATCCCCTGCTGATTTTGTACGTTTGCCCACTAGCAAAGAAATGATCAATCTATAATTTTAATGGTAGGTTTATTTTAACAGTGAGAGACAGAATAACAACAACAAAAATCCAGAAAAACGCATTTCAAAAGAGTTATAAATTGATTTGCATTTTAATGAGTGAAATAAGTATTTGATCCCCTATCAATCAGCAAGCTTTCTGGCTCCCAGGTATCTTTTATACAGGTACCGAGCTGAGATTAGGAGCACTCTCTTAAAGGGAGTGCTTTAATCTCAGCTTGTTACCTGTATAAAAGACACCTGTCTACAGAAGCCATCAATCAATCAGATTCCAAATTCTCCACCATGGCCAAGACCAAAGAGCTGTCCAAGAATGTCAGGGACAAGATTGTAGACCTACAAAGGCTGGAATGGGTTACAAGACTATTGCCAAGCAGCTTGGTGAGAAGGTGATAACAGTTGGTGCCATTATTCGCAAATGGAAGAAACACGAAATAACTGTCAATCTTCCTCGGTCTGGGGCTCCATGCAAGATTTCACCTTGTGAAGTTTCAATGATCATGAGGACAATGAGGAATCAGCCCAGAATGATGTCAATGATCTCAAGGCAGCTGGGACATAGTCACCAAGAAAACAATTGGTAACACATTACGCCGTGAAGGACTGAAATCCTACAGCAATCGCAAGATTCCCCTGCTCGAGAAAGCACATGTACAGTCCCATCTGAAGTTTGCCAATTAACATCTGAATGATTTAGAGAACTGGGTGAAAGTGTTGTGGTCAGGTGAGACCAAAATCAAGCTCTTTGGCATCAACTCAACTCGCTGTGTTTGGAGGAGGAATGCTGTGTATCACCCCAAGAACACCATTCCCACCGTCAAACATGGAGGTGGAAACATTATGCTTTGGGGGTGTTTTTCTGCTAAGGGGACAGGACAATTTCACCACATCAAAGGGATGATGGATGGGGCCATGTACTGTCAAATCTTGGGTGAGAACCTCCTTCCTTCAGCCAGGGCATTGAAAATGGGTCGTGGATGGGTACTCCAGCATGGCAATGACCCAAAACACATGGCCAAGGCAACAAAGGAGGGACTCAAGAAGGAGCACATTAAGGTCCTGGAGGGGCCTAGCCAGTCTCCAGATCTTAATCCCATAGAAAATCTGTGGAGGGAGTTGAAGGTTCGAGCTGTCAATGTCAGCCTCGAAACTTTAATGACTTGAAGAGGATCTGCAAAGAGGAGTGGGACAAAATCTCTTCTGATATGTGTGCAAACCTGGTGGCCAACTACAGGAAATGTCTGACCTCTGATTGCCAACAAGGGTTTTGCCACCAAGTACTAAGTCATGTTTTGCGAAGGGGTCAAATGCATTTTTCTGGATTTTTTGTTGTTATTCTATCTCTCACTGTTAAAATAAACCTACCATTAAAATTATAGACTGATCATTTCTTTGTCAGTGGGCAAACATACAAAATCAGCAGGGGATCAAATAAGTTTTCCCCCACTGTAAGATAATTAATAGAAGGCTGAACTAAAAATATGGAATGGGACCGGATACTAGATGTCAGAAAATGATAAGAGAAATTGAATTACTGGAGAAAGAAACACACACAGCAACTGAAGAAAGAAACAGGCTGAGGAGCAGAATCTCCTCAGATCTTCAGATCTCAGAATCTTGAATACACAGGAGAGAAAATAGGATTATACAAGAATTAGAAACACAAGCAACTTCAGAAATGAGAAACATAGTGAAATAACTGGTATTTAATCAGATTGTTGGCCCCTCAAGGCAGTGTTATCTATATCAAATGCAGTAACACTCAACAGGCTTTTTAGAGCCAGGTAGAGAGAAAACAGAGATCAGCAAATCTTGCACAGTGCAAAGGAGAACAAGGTTGTATAATTGAAGAAATAGAGTTGGCAAGAAGGAAGCTTAAATAGGAAGGGAACACAATGAATTGAAAAGTAATGGAAAAAGTAATGTTTTAGTTTTTAATCTTCAGAATGTTACATAATGTCCTATTTAATGCCGACTATCAACTGAAGAATGAAAACTTCTGGCAGATCATAGTCCCCTTACTTCTTGCATCTTCTCTTATCTGCATATTCTTTGTAGCACAAGGTATTTTATTCAACATATTCAACATCACTTTTTTTTTGCTTAGGCTTCTGACCAAATGGACTGTTCTAACCGAAGAGTTGCAAACAGCCATGAAAAAGATTTTCTACACCTCTGCTGTAGAAGAATGGATAGAAGAGAATGTCCAACCAAGCCTTCAAAGACTTCAAGGAACAGTAGATGATTTGAACTGTGCAGTACAGGAACTCTCTTAGTATTTTGATCTATGACTTTGCTAATTGGAAACCCAACTTTCAGCTAGAATCAAGCAAATAAATAATAGGGTATGTCCAGATGAATTTCAATAAGCTTGGCATTACAACAAAAAGCTGAGGTTATGAGTCTTCTTTCTATCATGCTTCTATACAATCCTCTGTGTAAAGGTGTACACAGTGTAGAATTTCTAAATTTAAAAATCATGCAGACACTTTATCTTTTAAGTAAATCTTATTAATATGCTTAGAATATTTCCCCTGAAGTACGAGAAAAGTTAAGTATAAAAATTTGTCTCTCAGTACTACAGTGGTTAGGAATCTTCTAATTAAACAGTGGTAGGACATTCAGGGAACATTCAGGGAACAGCAAAGGGACTGTCTTCACGCAATCAAGAATTTTAAGGAAAATAAGATAGTGAGGATTAGCATATAGACAACTTAATAATGGGCTTGTACAAACTTTACATGGAATTTGTAATGTGTGAGAAAAAGAAAACACACAAGAGTAATCTCTTCCATTTAACTAAGTCTGTTTATACATTGACAAGTAATCTCGCATCTGTTACACTGTTTCTTGAAGCTGTGCATTTATTTACAGTTTCTGGAAACTATACATTTAGTGATTTAAGCTTGTAAAGCACTAACTGTTCCTTTTGTCAGATATTTAATATAGGAAAAATATGCAATTTTGTTAAAGACACACTTTACTTTTAACTTCAAATAAGCACCTTCCATTTTAAGTATTAAGGTTCATCCAGGCAAGAACTTTAATTAAATAGTATTTTCCAATAAATCAAACTGCCTGGTTGAGATTAGTTTACAACCGAAATGTTTATAAGTAAATGTTGAACTTAGACTTTTTTTCAGAATTATATAAAAGAAGAGTGCCTATCTTATCCTAGTCATTTCCAAGAAGTTCTCAAATTGCTTCCAACAGAATATCTTAATATTGACCCCCAAATAACCATCTGTAATGAGTTCTGAGATGAGCAATGAGCATTAGGTTCCATTTACCAAACAGGTGACAGCCTTATGCCTAAATTTCCAGATGCAGCTCAGGTTCTCTAACCATCTCAAAGATACAAGTCTATGTTGGATTCAATTTGATATGGAATCATTATTTTAATGTTCTAATTATAATCTTGTTTAGATGGATATTTCTTCTATTGTATTTCAGTGAATTGTGAATTATCCAGTTTTTAAAAGTGCACATATTTGTAGACACAGTTCTATTGCTTAATTGTGCAAGAAGAAACTTTTAATTTCTAATGTCCTATCTCCAGTAAACAAATATTTACAGAATGGAGTTTTCCTAAACTATTGTTATTTTTTTAAAGCAAGAGATTGTTTTAAAAAAGAAGCATTAAAATATGTTTCTATAGTATTTGGATATCTGACAAGAAATATTAATGCTGAATATGAAACAGTGCAATAATTATTAAATTATACAACTGAAAAAACACTTTATAAAGCACACTTTCCAACAAACATTTTAACACTTTTCAAATAACCTGACTTATCTGAACAAAAATGTATTTTTGACATTTACAGTGTTCTACTCTAAGACACTTAAAAAATGATTAAAGTAAGAATTTTCAAGACAATTAATATATTTTGAGAATTTCTAGAATGTGAGGTATTTACTTTTTATATCTGGAAACCAATGACAGACCCTAACACCTTTTTAATTTAATAAAATATACTCGATAAGCCTTTTTGATACTTATTTTTCTTTAAAAACCCCTCTAAACAGGAAGATTTCTCTGACATACACCATTTTCCCCATTTTTAAAATAAAAATCCATCATTGAATTATCTATTAGACTGGATGTTTCCTTTGAACAGCAGTAAACTTAATACAGACATTATTGGTACTTGGCCCCAGTAGAAAATTAACCATAATCACCATCAAACTAATGATATAATAATATGAATCATGAGTAGAAAACAAACACACAATCATGTGCACACACATATAAACTTTCTTTGTGCTTATCAATTTTAAAGATGCAATAACAAATGTGGTTCCTGTGGAAAAGCTAACAGTAGTGTACCACAAACAATCAAGCCAAAGATGTGTTTTTGAAAACTTGCATTCAAAACATTTAATTTCAGCTCTCTACCTTTTAGAATTTATTATAGTCATTGATTTACCATTAGACTGGTATCACCTCTGTGGGTTGTGATTAGACAGCCAGCCTTTGGTTGGAATCCCGTTTATGTCCTTTTCTACATAGGGAGGACCTAACTACTGTTAATCACAGACTGGTAACCAAAATTTTACAGACTGCCAATTAACTACAAACAGGAGTCAAGTTTTGTTTAAAACTACTTGAGATCAGGACAAACTCCATGTGTAATTACAGACCTCATCAATTGCTAAGACAATTAGAAGAAGTTCTGTGCTATGTAACATGTCTATTGCTTGTCAGCTCAGAGTTGTTCCTGCTTTTTGAATGTTCTTCCCTTTTTGTTTAGAAAAAACAACAGTTTCAATGCCAAACTGGTTTGCTCTTTTTTTATATTGCTCCTCCTGCAGAAGTGCAGTTGTTGAGAAATAGCACTGTCCATATTTGAAGTGTGTGGCCTCAATACTCTCGCTGGAGGATTTTATTGAAATTTAAAACAATCACAAGGAGTGCAGAAGGGGAAAGAATTAGGCTCAAGACTTATCAGGAATTAGATAATCATCTAAATTATGTCCAAACGGTATTCCCATCTGAAAATCTTTCAGTTAAAAGATTCATTGGTCTAGAAAATATGGAAGACTTTAAACTCCTTTCTGATTGTTGCTTAATATCATACACAGGAAGCTAACAATTAAAAAGTTGTTTCTAGAACTTAAGAATGTAACAGATTCATGTTTTCTACCATTCAGACAATTTTTGGTTTCCACAGAGTTCATGCAACTATTTGTCTTTTGCTTGATCTTCTGAATCACTAACATCTGTTCCACTACTTGTTTCAAGGCCTTCATCAATCTGTAACTCGTTCAGTTCAAGGAAACCAATAATGAGGTTGGCCACAGCCTCAACATCACTAAGAAAGAAAAAAAAATAGGCAAGATTTAATGAATCCAATGAGTTGGTCATGAAAATATGGAACTCTGTGCATCCATCTAGTAAAGGGAAAACATTTGGAAGTATAGCAAAATCTCTGACCTTTATTGTTCCCATGTCTGTTTGAAAGAATATCGCAGGATTTTAATGTTAACTTTTATTTTCAAACTGAATTAAATTTCAGTCTGATATCACACAATTATTTAAGAAAAATAAGTTAATTGTCTGGGTTTCAGATACCAATTATCTTCCTGATATATAATTAAGAAGTATTAACATTAATTTACCTGAAGCACTATGCCTTTCCTGCTTACTGATCTAATGGCTAATAAAGCAACTGGCAGGAAACAAGATACATAGAATGTATGGAAAAATTGTTAAAACACTTTCAGAAATGTATAGCTTTATTTCTTCTGAAGATATATATAACATTTTTTAAATGTGCCTAAAAATCAGCTACATGTTCTATAGCAGCTATAATAAAAACCTAAACTCATTTTAATTGAGAATTGAAAATGTTGATGACACATTTCTGACATCTACACTTAAAAATGTCAAAATTAAATACACTTAAATTCATTCTGGAATAGATTGCAGTCATGAAAATGCCATAGCATTATAACTTTAACTGAAAAATGTAAGTTAATGCACAACTAAAGAATTTGAAAAGAATAGTAGTAACAAAAGGACAGTTGGGTTTTTGAGAATGTGATTGCCAATTTCAGGTGAAATGATCCCTCCTAACATATTCTAATTAATCACAAAAGAGAAAGTTCATACATACCTTTTGCAGCCCATCACTGCATTCTGTGTGAGAGGGTGTGAAAATCCAGTGCCAAATCGCAATACAATTAGGTACCCCTTCCCAAAGTAACGAACCTTCTCTTCTTCTACATTCACAGTCTGTATTTCACCCAATGGAACAACCACTATTTGCAAGGAGCAAACACTGAATTGTTAGTAAAATAATGTCAAGCAATACTATGTACAATTCACATCAAAAAGTAGTAAAAACTATCTGGATCTCCTTGCATGCCCACAGCTGCCTCCTATTAGTTTTAGGGCCAACAGAGCTAACAAGGATTGACCCTAGATAGAAGACTTTCTGAATTCTTCCTTAGAAAATACTAGCATAAACTCTCTTTTCCCTCCTGCAACTTAGGTTTCTCCTCCCAGCACTTTTGAATGATGATTTGTAAATTTCAGGGCAAGAATGGAGTTCATTATTGATGTAGTAAAAATCTTTTAAAGAAACAACAGACTCCAAGATCCCTCAAACCATAACCATAAATTTAGTTTCTTAGTGAGGAATGTGGTGGGATACATCAAGCCTACGACCTAACCTCCAATCGTTCGGGTACAAGTGGTCTCACGACGACACACTTCCCCACTCGAGGACAGTAAGTGAGGTCGAGGACGACTGGATCGTCAATTTTGTACGTTAACGTTCATCCATCCATGGTAAAACCACCCGTGTAATTGTCCTGTACTTTCCTCGGGGGTAGACCCGTAAGGGGTGCTGGTGATGTCACCAGCTAATCCTTTCAACCCGGAAGCGGCTTGGTACTTCCAACATGAACGCAAGCGAGTTTCTGTAGCTGATTACTAGCTTAGAAACATGTCATTTTGATGTTAATATTATTTTGGAAAGATGAACTTATGTTTTTTTTAGAGATTTAAGACTTCTTGAGGATTTGCTAACTTTTCAAAGAGTATAGAAGAGTTGTCCACTTTCAACTATTACACAGGGAATTCTGTGTTTTCAAGATTTAAATATATTTGTGTCTTCAAAATCCTGTGATAAATCAATATACACTATTGTCAGGGCTTTTTTTCTCGGAGAAAAGGTGGCGGAACTCAAACCTGGCCACGCCCTCATCAAACCCTAGGACCGCCCCTTTAGAGAACAGGAATGCAAGTAAAATTTGGGAGGGGCTATTTCCGGTGCGGCCGGCCCGGAAAAAGGTGCCGGAACGCGGTTCCGCCGCGTTCCGGCTGAAAAAAAGCCCTGACTATTGTTAATTCTATATGAAGCAAATATGGTCTTAGTAGCTATAAGCAAACTCTTGGTAGAAAGCAGGAGTTTACATGTCCAATCACAGCATAAAATATATTTAGCTGTGCTCATAACTATGATTCTTTAACCTGTTTGCTTAGACAGATTAAAGTTTTGTCTCTGAAAAAAAGTGAAGAAAATGACAATTTCTTCAGAATCCTGCAGAAGCCACCATGTTGCTACAAATTTCTGTTTAGTGTTCTCTTTGGTTTTGAGATTAAATATTTTTGTTTTCATAATAACTAGTAGGTTGTTTGTTTCCAGTAGTTGCTGAGACTTCAGAGTTAGAATTTTGCAACTACTATTCATTTTGTCCTTACATGATGTGGCAGCACCTGGATCACCTTGGTTGACTTTAAAAAACACTTAGCAGAATTAGACCAAGTTAGTACTTCAAAGGGGATTCCCCAGGAAACCTTAGTTATCAGCTAGATAAGAATATAGAAGAAACATCCTAGAAGGCACTATCCTTGTAAGCCCCCTAGTTCAACTCTGTTTGAAACAGTTTTTATTTTACTACAGTATGTACGTATGTCAGGATCAAATAAATATCTTACTTTCTATACAACATGCACCATACTATTTATTTTATTTATTTATTTTATTTATTTTATTAAATTTATATCCCGCCCTTCTCCTTGCGGACTCAGGGCGGCTAACAATCAGATAAAATACATACATAACATTACAATTTAAAAATTAGTTAAAAAGGAAATATTTAAATTTAATCTAATTAAAATATAATTAAAACCCCTCTAAAAGTTTCCCCTAGGCCAGTCCCGCAAGCTGGAAAACACTTCCAATTTTCAACTCACTTGTTGCTTTACCTTGTTCGTGGCCAGCTCTTGAAAAGGTCAGAAGCTTTTTGTAAAGGCTGAATGACTTTAAGTAAACCTTTCCTGCATCTTTCTCAAATATAGCTTCCTGTGGGAAATAAATAAATAAATCACCTTACGAAGCCATTTATTGGATGAGAGGAAAATAATCACAGTTGTCGAACAAGTATAAACATTCTTTTCTATAATAATGTCAATAATTAAAATAGTCAATATATAATGACTATTACTCCAAACTAAATAAATTTAGTCTCAGATCCTCCTTAAAAAGTAAAATGTACAGAATCTCACATTTCCCATCAAACTCTTTATCTCTCATTTTCAGAAAAATCTCAAATCTCAGTCTGAATC